ACTCCTGTAGCCATTTCCATTTTTCTTTTTGACCCGTCTCTCTGGACTGGACTGGACTGCTTTGGAGAATAAATAAGTCCATCACCATCTCCGTCTCCTGTCATGATCATCGCCGGTCATCGTCCTGTGTACTTGTCCATCCGCATATAACTACCACCTCTGCCACGCTCTTCCAATCGGCCAAAACTCAATCGACTTGAATTCTTATTCGGCACCAAGCAAGGGCTCACTGACTTTCGTCATTTTCCTTCCGCTATCTACGCGCTAAACGTCTGCTCCCCACTCTTTGTGTAAGACCCAGCCAGCCTTGAGCCAACCCTTTCCGCCCGCCGCATACCAACTATATCACCAAACGAGCCCCAAGCTTTGTTCTTTTGTTCTTAAACCTTTTATTATACTCCTCTGTCTATTTCAAATAAAAAGACACAATCTTGACAACCTTCCTTCGACATGGCTCCAACTCACCGTCGAGGACCTTGGGTCCCTGAGGAGGACCAGTTACTACTTCAGTTGGTGCGCGAGCAAGGGCCCAACAACTGGGTGCGCATTTCACAGCACATGCACTACCGGTCTCCCAAGCAATGCCGGGAGCGATTCCATCAGAATTTGAAGCCCTCGCTGAATCGGGAGCCCATCTCCGCCGAGGAGGGCTTGATGATCGAGCGCATGGTCAACGAGATGGGCAAGCGATGGGCGGAGATCGCCCGACGACTGGGCAACCGCAGCGATAATGCAGTCAAGAACTGGTGGAACGGCAGCATGAACCGGAAGAGAAGAGGCCTCTCTGTCTCCACCGCGAGTCCGTCCCGCACATTCCATGGCCGAGTGGAAGCTCCATACCCGCGGGCCTCGACCTCGACGGCCCTGAGCAGTCCTCCCAACCGCTCCCGCTTCTCCTCCATCTCCCACGACCGACCTCTCACTTCATGGACGAATTCCCCCAGTATTCACACCCGACGAGAATCCTCCGCCGCCTCAGTCGACTGCCCTCGGCAGTTAAGTCCCATCTACACACTTCCCGCTCTGAACCGCCCCGTCGAGACGCCCTTGACCTCGCCGGCATTCTCCGACGTCTCTCCTCCCTCGATGGTCTCCGACCACAACTCGGTTTCCTCTGCATCCCCTAGGACCGTTGCATCGCCACAGCTGCTCCCGCTCCCGGTCGACCTTCGCAGACCAAGCCATGGATCAGAGGACGTCTACATGAGCCATGCCTACTCCCGTCTGAAGACCCTAGAGCCCTTCTCCGACGTGGCTTCGAAACCACGCTGGATCCCCGATCCTCAGCCGTGGGGCCATCCGACCGCATCATTGACGCCGGCATGGACAACGCCGGAGCCTTGCCGAGCGGAGTCCCGACGAGACTCACGAATGGGTCTCGACAACCTGCTTAACTAAATGATGTCTTGCAACGGCCGGATGAGCTTATTTCTCTTTGTTACGGGCAGTGCCTCTGTATATATGACCCCCCCGACCTCTGTCTCTCTTTACATTTCCTTACTGTCCATCATTTCCTTTGTCTTTACGGTGTACAAATTCTGGGACGACAAACGCCGCGGCAGGGCACGCGGTGATCCTACAACCCACAAGAAAAAGCATGAGTGTGTTTATCGCAAACAGGGGAAGAAGGGAACCCTGAAGTGTCTATCTCACGGAGCATATTTGGACTTGGATAATACCCCTATTGTTGTTGACGATTAGCCAAGCAAAATAAATGAATCGTAATGTCTATTCTACGCAGTACCCTCAGTCCCGGGTTTCCGGATCTGGATCTAGAGAACTCCCTCGCAGAAACAGGATCACAGCCAACAACGTAAGGCGAGAACTGTGGCTGGCTGGCTGGCTGTCAGGGTTTCTCCGTGGAATGCTACACAGTACGCACTCACGAGGATCATGCAAGGGGGATGCAAATGGAATCAACGGATTACTTGCTTGCTACTTGGCAGAATTCCAACAAAGAGCTACGCAGCATGCCCAAGATGCTCACCTCAGTTCTCAGACAGGAAGAAAAAGAAAGCAGCATGCACGCAATAGACATAGACCCTTGACCACAGTTGACAGGTAGACTATCGAGTATCGACCTCTGCAATTACCCCCCAGCGGCCCAGATCCTATCAGTCGAGTCCAGTAGCCCACGAGCCAGGGATGGTTCATGCAGTTGAGCACGCCTCTGTCACTCTCCTCCTGTCCTGCGTCGTCACTGGTTGGGGGTTTGATACCTACCTTCCCTTCCAGTCTTGCGCTCATCAGAGTTCGAGCCTTGGGGATGGACTCGGCCAGTGAGGGCGGGGGATTGGGTTCTTCCCTTTTGTCTCGCGTGCAGGGCCGCTAAGATCAAGGTTTGTAGGCTGCAAGTGTAAGTAAGTGTAGGCTGTAGGGTGTACCGGGACAGCTAGGCGGCCCTAAGCGCCAACGTTCATCCGAGAAGGGACCGGCTACAGCCATGCTCTGAAGTTCAGCTTCTTGATTTTGGGGACTGCGATGTTTCCATTTGCCATGTCAGTTGACACCTCCGGTCAGCCACAATGGATAGCTGATCGCTGCTAGCTCCAGTCTTGCCACCGCAGGCTGCAGATACAGCTTACAGGAGTAGGTCTCTTCCCTGCAAGACAAATCAATTAACACCATCTCTAACCGACAACCCTCTATCGCAGAGATAAAAACTTTTAGTAAAAATACAGTGTTCTTAGTTATTACCACGGTGCACTTCGACGCCTGTCGACAATCCTGACTGACTGCGAGGCTATCAGCCTTTCAGACAGACTCAGACTTGGACATTGGAGAGTTGACTACTGCAAGTGGAGGTAGTAGGGATCTACTCAGATGGCTAGAGATCAGCGCGTCCGGCGAACCTGGAAGAAGAGTAGTATTTGGAATTGTCTTGGTTTAGTCGATTGGCTAGGCGCGGCGTGACGTAGGAGGATAGCAATCTAACAACTCGATCGTTGGCGCTGAAACCAAAGACTAGCAAGTTGTTGAAACTTGATGAGGAACAATGTCATTATCTCGACCATCACGATTAGTAGACAAAAATAACTCCTGCGCTGGCGTTCGAAAGCTGAAACGCCCGTTCTGCTGATCATTAATCAATTTCAATTTGAATTTGGGGAAAAACTTCTTGTTGCGTGATTGCTGCTTCTTATTTGTTGCATCGTGGGAGGAATCGTCGCGATAAGCGAGATCGGTCTCATGTCCTGTGTTACTATTCTCTGAGTGGAGCTTGACTACGAACTGCAATAGCCATATCAGTAATTGTAAAAGACTCATTCTGTCCGGGTGGATAACATAACATCAGCGAGATCACGTAGTAATCACATTCAGCACTGCTATTCTCTCCCCGATCAGGAAAAAGCACACGTCCTCGAATCCAGTTTCTTGACGAGGAACCGTTCCTGGGCCGAGAGCCGGGGTCACTGGATGACCAGCCAGAGTCGAGAACCGTTGGTTGGCCGCTCTATGAAACGGCCGGGGCGATGCGAGTCCATGGGTTGTCGCCTCTTGGATCTTGATAGTGTGCTTGATCGGTCATGGACTCATGCGGCTGTGGGGCGGTTTGTCTTACAGAGTAACAAAGAGCAGCCAGCATTTTCTGGCTTCAGACTATGGCATAACTCGCAATATGCGGAAGCCGGAACGTTGACAGGGAAGCTGGACTAAGTGTTATGCATGTTCCTGCTTGCATCCATGCATTTCAGAATTCAGATACCTTACTGCCTCTGCCCTCGTAGTAAGTGTAATTATTGCTTAAGTGTAATGATCAAGCAATAGTAATGCAAATATTTGACTGGAAGGAAAACCCTCATGCTCCACTTGCTTGAATGAGTTAGAGTATCCGCTTGTGGGTCTGTAAGGTATATTACATTTGAAACGGTTACCTTACCAAGTAGTTGTTGTTACCATACCTCTATAGATATCTTTCATACAAAGCATGGAATCACCTTAAGAATTAAGCATTAGGTAGGAATCTGTGTTTCAATAGCGATCCATCAGTACCAAAATTCTATTAATTCCTCTGCAAATACCACCATTGCAAAAATAACCTCAACTCACCTGAGTCAGTCGCCCACCCCTGCTCTGGTCGTTCCCCGCTTGGCGCGGTCCCCCAATTTCTGCTTTGGGATATATTCAGCGAGACGAGACCACAGCTCGAGATCAGCTCCCACCATTCCAAATATTTGTCACTGTGCTGCAGCGCAGCCTCGCCCTGTAAATTTGTATTTTCCACTCCCTAGATCTGCATTTGCAATTTATCGATGGATGGCTGAGGCGAGCTAATCACTGCCCAGAATCCCAGATCAGCCATCCATCCGGCCTCTCCGGGGTCAAAGCACAAACCGGTCATGCCTAAGGGGTTCTTGAGGGTAGCCACGTGGGTCGGTCACATACCAGCCGTTGAATTGTTGGGTTGGTTACTGGTATTACATGTTGAAAACGGAGATACCTTACAGAGTACACTTTCCTGAGGCAAGGTGGATTGTGAAGCTTGCTTGTATGGCATTGATACAGGGAATTACGGGATTTGTAGACAATCACCACCACCCTCATGTGTACTACCAATCAGCCAGCCATCGAATGGAAACGGTTTCTGTCAGATGCGATCAGGATCCATGGCGGCTGGATCGGGGTTGTTGAAATAGTGGCTTGTACACTACAGTGTAGATTGCTTGGCGAGCTGCGAATTTCTATCCGCCTGAAGATGACCACGGGGAGTGGAGTCTGACTTGCAGGATGGCATTGACGACGTCGATATGTGAGTCTTCGGAGATCGCCTGGCAAGGTCAGATGAAATCTAGGATGGTATTGATTTTCATGTACGCTGACCCGCGTAGGGATATTGAGACCTCGGTGTATGTTTACCCCTGAGTCGGCCCCCAGCCAAGTGATTGAATCTCCCACTAGAGCCCCAAGAACCCCTGATCAAAGTCGTCGTTGAATATCCAGCTCATTGGCTCCGTGTCACCCGGAGGGAAAAGCGCGTCAGGTGTCTGCGGTGCTCATTCTCAGCGACCGGACGAGTACTCGCGAACAATGGTGATTTTACTCACTAGAATGTTCCAGTCCTTCATCATCTCAACTGCCATGGACTGCTGGATCTCATCGACTATCCCCCCTCTCTGCTCTTGGATCGACGCCGCCATCTCCTCTAACATTGGCAAGCATTTCTCGCCAACATTCTCGACAGCTTTGACCATTAACCTGGCGACCTCCTTCTCCCCAAGGCCGCGCATCAGTCCTTCGACCTGCGCTGAGACAATGCTCATGAGCAAGTAGCCTTTGACATTGGTCTCACCGGCCTTGATGACCCGCAAGCACCATGCCCTTGCGTCCTCCAACACAGAAAGAAGGTCTGGCCGCAACGGAGCAGGACAGAGACCGTCTTCCTCCCGTAGTTGGGTGCAGAGCTCCATCCCAATGAGAAAGGCAGCATGTATGGCCACGCTTGGGTAGAATCCCGAGCTGCAGGCGACGAGGCGCGGCAGATCGTTGCTGTACAAGGGGGTTCCTCCCACCAGCGACGGGGACGGGCACGCCGCTCGCCACAGTTTAAGCGACGACTCGACCACCGTCTTTTGCGAGAAGACGTAGGCGGTCCCGTGCAGTGCCGGGCCAAAGTATGGGATGTGCAGAGCAGAAAGATAGCGGTGCATGAGGAGATCCACAACCTGGATCTCGAATTGAGAGGGCGAGGGGCGAGCGCCGGCGTTGGTGCATGCTCGCAGGGTCTGTGCCAGCACGCGGTATGCCGCTCGCAGCTCCGCATCAAGACCGAGAGTCTCCTCATATGTTCTGGGAGAGGTCAAATCATTCAAGAATTTGACCACAGCAAGGCGATGGGGGAAGGTTCTGCGGAGTGCCACTGCGATGGAGACTTTGGTAAAGTCTCCTTCCGGTTTCGGAACTGGATCCTGAGCCTCGAGCTGCTCGTCGTCAAAGTTGCCAGGAGGGGCCGTGTCAAAGTCGTCGAGTGAGAGTAAAGAAGGACTACCAGAGGTCAGACTGGACTGGAGATTGACCTCAAGGACTGTGTTCCAGAGCCGTCGCCGCATTTCTATTACAAAAGTCGTCACCCGGGGTAGGCGACTCGGATCCCTGTGCAGACCCATGTAGATCGCTTTCCGCAGCAGAGCGCCGGCGGAAACCCAAGGCAAATCCCTACTGACCCCCACTTGTTCCTGCGCAAACAAAAGAAGCAGGTTCGCCTGGAGAGATTGAATGTTCAGCCTTGACTTGTACTTTGGCCTGGAGATCCAAAGCTGGGCCTCGTAGACCCATTGAATGGCCGAGGCCCGCAACGAAAACTGGTCATCGTAGGTGACAGCGCCGATGGCAAGCACGAGCTTAACCTGCATCAAAACGGCCACATCGGGCTTTTCATTTGATATCCAGAGCGCCTCATACTCCCTGCGGAAGGTGGGGACATGTAGGATTCGATAGATAGCCTCAGTCGTTCGGAGGTAGTTATCAACGAGTGCATCGGCTACCTCTTTAGGAGGCAGTGTGGACGTCAGTGGGGAAGGCCATGCAGGTGCTCGAGCCGCTTTGATGCACCGGGCCAAGTCTTTGCACTTCTTGATGCCGGTCCAGGCCTTAGACGATTCGTCACGCAGGCAGGGTTCAAGGATATTGAAGATGTCGCGAATCTGATTGCGAGTTTAGTTTCCGGGTAATGTCCAAGAGAAAGACCGGGAGTGGACACCCACCAGATAGATACCGCTGACGGTCCAATGGCTTTGGCCGAACAAGCGTGTCTTGAGGCTCACGTTGTGGGGGATGGGCTCCGGCTGGCCCGATGCGCCTCTCTTGCGATGGATGTGAAACGTTCCGCTCAGACGTGAGCTCATTGTCTCGACGTCCGATTCAGGAGCTGAATCATGGGACGGTTGGATGATGGGCCTTGCATTTGCTTGCGACAGCTGATTCTCAAGTTGTTGAATCCTTAGTTTCAACCGCATCATCTCGGCATCTTGACTGGGCTGCTCTTCGCGCACCGTGAGACCTTGGCCAGCATGGCGCTGTGGAGATGGGCCAGGAGGGTGAGGCTGAGGACTCGGACTCTCGTAGATGCAAGTGCCGCTTCTGGACCGCAGACAATTGCTGCAGGGCCTCTCTCGATTACATCGGATTTTGCGTCTCCGACACAAAGTACATGACACTGTTGGCCTCCTGCGCCGTCCCTCAGACAGGATCATGAATTTTGCCATGAAGACAAGTCGAGGGGATTGAGGCAGTCAGGCCAAGAAATCCGCAACTTCAGCTGGTTTCACGACTGTGCTTCAAGTTTGAGATTGCATGAAAGAATGGATGAATCATGGATGATATAGAAGATCGGCCAAACTTGGCCAAATCTGGAAAGACAAAGCCGAGTCCGACTCCGGCGCTTTATCTCCGGTTGCCCTTAAGAGTCGGGACTCTGGACTCTGAGTATTTGAAGGCATCGCTGTTCTTTCTATCACAGTGACAGCAATCCAGATCCCTCTACACAATCAACAACCTCATCTGCCAATTTCATCATATTTCGTCCTCAATGACGAGGAAACACATCCTAACCCCGAGCCTCTAATGCACGACCACGACCGCGTCCCCTCCCAGCAGCGCTCCTAACTTCTGCCACCTACTCCTTGTCTCTGATCGCAGCTGTCGCGGCGTCCTACCCGCTGCATTTGGTTGATTCATCGTACTATCGCCATCAGAAGCTTCCTGCAGGACAATCATCATCTTATCCTGCGCTCTTATCCTATCCGCGACCATAACCTTCTCAACCTTGTTAGTCTCCTGCGGCTGGAGGAATCCTCATGCTGCTTTATGAAAGGCCGTGTCCCCCTCTGCGTTCATGGCATGGACATCAGCGCCTCGACTGAGTAGGAACTTAGCCGCCTGCACCTGGCGTAGATTCATAGCCATGATGTGAAGAGCTGTGTTCCCATCTTTATCAGCATGGTTGACACTAGCACCATGTGACACCGGCAAGTCAAGTAAAGCAGTGTTGATGGGCTCAGCTACAGAACGGCGTCCTGAGCGCAAGCACCCTTGTCGAGAAGGAGGTTCATCAGTTCCTCCCCACGCGCAATACGGTCGCGGATCCACCCCTAGCTATCCTCCGTCTCATCTGCATCTTCAAACTTCAAATAAGCTAGCGATGCCGCAGCAGACAGTAGTGGTGTCTCATTATACCGATCTCTGGCACTCACTGTCCCAAGCTGACTGTCTAGAAGGAACTGCACCATTTCAACACGCGCAGAACCACATGCCGCATTCAGCAGGGGAAAAACCCCGCTGGTCAAGCGCTGTATTTTGCGTTGGGGCGGCAGCATATTCTTCTAGGAGGAGGCGGAGTGCATCAATGCTGCCATGCGCCGCGGCAACCCAGAATGGATCATAGTAGTATACCTCTCCTGGGGCAAGGGCGGCCGCTCTGGAGTACACAGAGATATATTGTTTCAGTCTGGAGATGTCATTGAGTTTGATGATTTTGAGCAGAAGGGCCCCGTAATCTGTCTCGTAGAGGGGGGTGCCGTCTGTGTCAAGGAGGAAGGTCCACAAATACATGTGTGTGGGATGTCTATCAGCCGTATGTTATAAGCACCGGCATGAGTTCCAGTTGGTTGGATCAGAATCCCAGAACATCTCTAGGGTAACCTCTTCCAGGTACACAGTAGAGCCGCGGTACCATCCATAGGGATCATATCGCAATGATGATGCATATGACCCATTAGATCATATGGTATACTGCCCGCGGGCCAGGAGAAATGGAAGCCAGGGAAGTGATCTAAAAATGACGATAAAATCATCGATTTAAATCAGACATTGCACACAACATATCTGCGTCTCCTCTCCTCGACGGATTTTACCCTCTCCAGGCCGAGATGTACTACCGCAGACATTTGTGCTTACCATTCAGATACCTCACTACGCACCCTACAATTTCACCTACTCTTAGGACTCGCCAGCCATGGCAAACCAGGACAATATCTCTGCTGCAAAGAAATCCTGGCGGGGGCTTTCCCCCCTTGACACGAGCGCTCAATGACCTCGAGTCGTTCCTCAGTCGCCCGACGGGCAGCAGTGACCTGCTGGGGCATTATCCTCGTTTCGACGTCCGCGAGACGAAAGACTACTACCACCTTGACGGGGAACTCCCAGGCGTGGACAAGAAGGATATCGACATCGAACTCGGCAACGACAATACCCTCACGATCAAGGGACATTCTGAGCGCGAGTCAACGTCCAAAGATCCCAACCAGTCATGGTGGTACTCTGAGCGCTCGGTGGGAGAGTTCAGACGTTCATTCAGCCTTCCGGGTTCAGTGGACCGCGATCGTATCGATGCAACTTTGAAGGATGGGGTTCTTTCTATTACCGTCCCGAAGACTGGCGGACCCTCTGGGAGCAAACGTATCGACATCAAGTAGGGGGGCAGACTCGTATCGCATAGCACGGCAAAATACCATAGAAATAAACTAAAGCACTCAGCTAGTCAGACACTACTACATAGGCGGCACTAAACAATCTAGGCCTGAATAAAATTCATACTTCTGAGCCATCCCCATTGTTGATTTGCGCCTTAGTGAGCTTTGATATTAACTGCGAAAGTCCTTCCAGTCTGTCGCCAAGAGCTAGACTTGTCGATGCCTTTCAAGTGTTGACCAGCTTGAGACACGCCCGTCCTAAACTGTTGCAGATATCTTCCATTTGAACATGCAATGATATAAGTGTAACATGTATTACATGCTTAAAGGAAGCTAGTCGGCAGGCTACCACTACAGACAAAAGATGTAGATAACAACTTCCTACACTTTATGGTCTCTACAGACACAACTCCGGCCTCTTCCTCGCCGCTCCTTTCCAGTCCCACATCCACTCTCATCGGCCTCTAATATGTCCTTCCCCGGTGAACCGAGAAGCAGAATAGCCCCCCGGTTCAGGCGCTTCTTGCTCAGATGGTAAGATTTGTTCCGCGTAGTATCCAACAGCTTCTTAGATTTGATAACTGCATACGCTTCCTTGATATGTCCGATGGCATCCACCAGCCCAGCTCGGAAAGCGTCTCGCCTCTGATGAGATCTGACCGTTGAGCCGCTAAGGCTGGCAGTCTGGCGCCGATCAAGCTCTGCATACGCGCAGAGAGTTCCGTCGCAGAAGGGTCTGCGGAAGGCCCGATCAGGGAATCGGAGGGACGCTGGATCCTGAAATCATGGCACAGTGCGAGGGAAAAGCCTTCGGCAAAGGCGTGGCCGTTGATGAGGGCGATTGTGGGCATGGGATACCTACTCGTGTCAGCCAGGCGCCTAGGAAAATGGCTGAGGATTCCTCACACTCGAGGAGTTGGCGCAGGACGGGCCAGAAGTGGCTCTCCTGGTCGTCAGGCGCACCATCGGGGAATCCTTTGCTGTAGATGTCGGGAATTCTGCTTGTGGTGATGAGCACGCCCTGGGGATAGCTACGCTCGATTTTGCTGAGGCATTGAGAAAAGGAATCAAGGAAGGCGAGTGTTAGATCATTACTGGGGGGAGCATCGAAAACAAGAAAGTAGACTCTCTCAGTTGGCATGGCGCAGATAAATTGGCCACCTGTTGGGATGGGATGAGTGAATAGAGCCATAGCCTTGATTATGGCAAGTCAGTCAGACTGAGGGGATATCTCCTTGTCGCTTGCTTGCAATCGTCTTCACGCTTCCCGTTGCTTTTCCTTCCGCTCTTGCTCTTAGCACTACAATAAGACTCATTGGATCTGAATATATGAATGAATGGTTGAAATGTTTAGACATACTCTGTATCCGAGGTGGCTGGCCGTTTGCCACAGCGTTTTAAAGAGGCCGACCCGAGCTCGGCTCGGCTTGAGTCATTGTCCTCCTACCAATTCACTTTCTTGAAAGCATCTCAAATCAATGCCTAATCTTGTCCCGAGGCTGCTCGGGTTGCCGAGTTGGCTTCGGCTTCCAAAACTGCGTACAAGCGTCCATGGAACAAATCATGTGGAAATTTCTATACTTTCTTTTTCTTTACCGTTATTCACATTTACTTTACCACAGGTAACCATCTTCCATATCATCCCTACCTAGAGAACACCTCAGTCTCATATCAAACATTGATTGCGGGTGATTATGGGCTTCATCAACGGCGAACTCCTCTACAGCATCTTCAACTCAATCAACCCATGGAAAATAGCAACCTTCATCCTGCTGGCGGTTAATGTCAAATGCCTGCCGCTAGTATGGCATGTACGTTCCCTATTTCTGCCCTTGGAGTTTGCCTTTGCGAAACCGCAGCCACTGACTACAATCTCCACGCCAGTACCGCATCTTCAGTCCGATCGTGAGAGCCGCCTGGGCCAAATTCCGTCGTCGCCCCGGGCCGAACTCATGGATCTCGAATTCAAAGATCCCTACCGTGTTCCTGCCCATGGTCACCAGCACTTATGCTCCCTTGCTGGAATGCGACTATAACCTCCACAAGTCCAACAGTACCTATTTCACGGACTTGGATGCTAGCAGATCGCATCTGCTCTCCTGTCTTTGCTATGGGGGCTGATGGCGGTCGATCGCGAACTAACTGCAGAGGGGAACCGCGGCATGGTTGCGTCGATTATTGGAGGCGTCACAACGAGCTTCAGGAAGGAGATTCGGATGTTCCAGCAGTATGAGGTATGGTCGCGCATCCTCACGTGGGACCGGAAGTGGTTGTACATCGTCACGCACTTCGTCCGGAAGGGTTCAGTGAAGCCGAAGGGATATGTGGCTGCCAGAGCTAAGGGGGAGGTGTTGGACAGCTCGAATGGAGAAACGGGATCGCACTCAGCTCAGCCCGTTATCTTCGCTACGTCTGTATCGAAATATGTGTTCAAGAAAGGAAGACTGACGATCCCTCCGGAGCGGCTTCTGCAAGCCTCCGGTCTCCTGGAAGAGAGCGGTAACAGCGCTGAGAACAGAATGCGCGACAAGGATATGGACGGCATCGATCACGATGGCAATTGCGCAGGTGGTCCGGGAGTTTCTGAAGCCATCGAGAGGGAGCGTCTGAAAGGAATGAAATACGCTGACAGTTGGATTCGACTGGACTCCCTCCACGAGCAGCTTCTCAAGGAAGACGAGGCCAATGGCAATTTGGTGGCCATTGACCATCACAGCGACATTCCAGGCTGCGGCTTTTCATTTCCCTAGGGAAGGCAGAATTCCCAAATTTGCGATTCAGGCATATTATACGAGTCCAGAACCTCCCAAACGATGATAGTTGGCCGTAGACAACCATCGCATTCATATTGAGTAGTTCAAGAGCCTGGCAGTGTCCGTCGATATCTGCTGACTATCCAACTTTTAGAAAAAGCTCAAATGATTCACAGATTATACCTAGATGTTACTGCAGTATAGCTACAAGTCTATCATACAAGTATGGTAGCCTATCGCGATATCTCCCGCATACTAGATGATCGATGATCGATATTCGACTATATTAGTATTTTGCAATATTGAGAAATCATGCAGGGTTGACACCGCGTCATGTATACAATAACAAGTATCACGCGGCAGGATGCTTTTCAGGACGATCTTGCTCCGCTCCCCTCAGTCCATACTCAGTATCCAGCTGTGACCGTAGCCTGATGCTCTTCTCCAAAAAGCAGAACAAGAACGACGGCCCCGAGAATCCAACCGAGACCTGCCATACTACCCGCAGACTACGCGAATATACCACCTACATTATGTTGGGCAATCCGGGGAGAGGATTGGCCACGCGCAATAAGCTAGATGGACAGGCAAATCTTATGCGAGGGGAAAGACGGATACAAAGAGAGACGACTATCAGAGCAGAGAGAGCTCCGCAAGCCGAGGTGTGTTCCCGATATGGTGCTTTACATGGCACCATCTCATACTCACAGTGTGTCAAGGCAGCCCTAACTGGCGCGCTACTCCGCGACACTCTAATTTTCCGCTCATTCCACAATCGCAAAGCCCCGCGCTGTTCCATCATGAAGACCCTTTCTTGCTTCTATGGGATTTGCCCTCTTCGTTGCCCTGGGGGTGGTGGCCAGCCCTGTCAACTCCGATTCTCTTGCATCAAGCGGTCTGGATGAGGGGAGGGACAACAGTGTTGAAATCACCTATGACGATGGGGCGAGTGCTAACTCTGCTAATTCTATGGTTTTCTAATGATGCGCTTCTTAGACATGTACCAAAGCCAAAAATAAATGCAGGTATACGCCACAAGATGGCGGAGTTGCTTACTGCCGTTGCCATTTCAAAACGGTAACTTATCCCAGACCTAGATATAATAAACACTCTGACTGACATCTTAGTGCACCCATGACGGCGCGAAATGCCATTGGGACAGCTATAAAAGAGAGTGCTACTGCAACTAGGCAGCTGTCTGATGACAATAGGCTGCTTGTGGAGGTGGAGGAAATGAGCTGATGTAGTCATTCATTATGCTAAGGGCATGAGGATAGTATTCAACATACCACTCATGATTGAGTTTTAATAACACATGCTGCCCTTCACTTTTGCCAAAGTCGTAGTAGTATATCGGAGAACTTATACCACTGTACTAAAATGGTGTCATGACAGTCACTCTTTCAGGGTAATAGTATTTCAGCAACTCCTACACTTTGACATAGTACTGGATCGATGCCTTAGTATTAGTAGGGAATATTGCCTATAGACTATAATAGACATGCATTAGATCATTAGACCACCGCGCAGGTCAATGCTGCTGCCTGAGACACTGGCTGAATGTGTCGTCCAGAGACTAAGAGAGATTGATCAAACCAGACCAAGCAACAGTGGGAGTAATCATTGTCCATATAAACCCACCTTCACCCCTCGAGTTGCCTCCTATTCTACACTCTATCAATCTGATTACAGAAACAAAACTTCTACCGACAACAGCCTCTCGCTTCCCACTTCTCTTTCACGATGCAAGACTCAGGAGATCTTCACCCAAACAGACCACCTAACAGGGAAATGCACGCGCAGGAATTGAAATATTCCCCCATCTATCGAGAGTCAGTCCAGGATGAAGTCCGTCGGGGTAACTTCGACGAAATCCGGGGATCAATGTGGAACAAAGTGTGGTATGTAAGTATGAGATACTGCCAACATGGTTATTCAATGGCGACACTCGAGCCCGTGTTACATGATTTCTGGTATGCCTGTTACCAGGGTGGCAGGCACCTCTCCCACGAGAATGCCGAACACGATCGTTTGATACTTGACATCGTCCGTTTCCGGGGAAGAGGTCCTTTGAAGAAACCCAGCAAGCAGAACCACAAAGACATTAAAATCGCCAACACACCGGCTGGCGTCGTCTGGGAAGATCTGCCTTTTCTTGTCATAGACATGACGGACTACTGGCTCAATGACTGCGCCACGATGAGTGCTAGCCAGCGCTGCAACTTTGCCCGTTTTCTGGCCAAGCTTGCGTCGGCAGGCCTTTGCAATGATAAGCTTTTCCAGATCGCTTTGCTGGTGTGCCGTGATGCCTTGGAGACCGCGCGGCCGCTTGGTAGTCTTGACGACGCTGGTGACGCCGATCCCGACCGCACGATGCAAGACCTCACTGTTGCCGATTTGCTGCCGGCGGTGTTTGCTTGGATGCAGGAAGCAAGATACAAGATGATCTCGCTCTCAAACGAGTCGTGGAACGACTGCTCGGATGATATTGGGCGAGGCGGTGCCACCTTCGTGGAGTCAGAGCTAGGCAAGAAGTCGCCTTCTGGGTTTAGTCACTGGAGATGGATGTTCTGGCTGAAGCGACTGGAAGACATCAATCAAGAAGCCAAGCAAGCGGGCGAGAAGCTCATTGCAGAGCAAATCTCCCTGATGCTAAACATTATGACGAGCGAACTCGAGAGCGGAGATCCTCTAACGTTCAGAAAATTCCAGGCTGCGGAGGACTTGATCCCGGATAGGAAGGAGTTCAGCATCAATTTCCTCACCGAGAGGGTATACCTCGAGTGGAAGGAGAGCCAGGAAGAAAGTGGTGAGGAGACTCAGGAGACTCAGGAGACTCAGGAGACTCAGGAGTGTACATAGGAGAGATGCAAACAGGCAGAAGCAGATGACAACAGATGATTGATTTATAGGCCTGAACAAGTGCACTTCCGTTTTCTCTCAATTGTTCACAATAGCTTCTCTGGTCAGACTTCCCCATTACGCACTGATGTGCCTTGCCTGGTTGCTATACTTGGATAATTATTGATGATTGTTGATGATTATTGATGACTGTTGATGGTTGTTGATGGTTGCTTGGAGAGCATAGTGACCCTAGGCTGTATAAGGCATAGCGCCCCTTTACGCCCATCATCTTATTCTCAACACTCATCGCAGTCCCCATGTCCCAAATAAACTGGAAAAGTACATTCTCCAAATGTCGAATATGCTACCACCCTGTGTGGCGGAAGCTCTGGAAAAAGCAGACCGAAAGCAGATACAGCTTGCAGGCGTCGGCTGTTTTGCACATGTCATCAAAGTAACTAGCCGACACTGGGTTTGTCATCAAGGAGACTTTTAACTAATCATCCTGTCGTGGGAAATCTGCAACCAACAGAAAAACGTATCTATGAACGACTTGGCCATCATCCTTTTATCCTGCGATACTACGGCGAGTATTGCCAGGGAAATGGTCTCCCAAACGGGCTTGTGTTTCAATATCAACCTGCTGGTACCCTGGCGGACAATCTTGCGCTCTCAAACTATCCAGAGAGGCGAACTCAGTAAGATCAAGATTCCTTTCTAGACTGTCATTTCGTGACTGACGCATTACAGATGGCCCTCTGCAAGCCGCAGAAGCCCTACGATTTATCCACTCCAGGAATGTGATTCATAGCGACTTTGGCAGCCACAATTTCTTGATTCAGGAAGATGGCACCTTGGCCCTCGCGGATTTTGGTGGCTCTCGGATCGACAACACCTCAGCTGTGGTATCATATTCGACCCGATACGCTAGGCCGTGCTCTGACTCTGACGACCTTGACTCTACCGAGATTGACGACCTGTTTGCTCTTGGAACAATTATCTATGAAATCAGCGTTGGACATCAATTGTATGCTGATAGATCTAGCAGAGAAATCCGGAAGTTACTACATCAGCAAGAATTTCCAGATCTAGAAAGCATTGCTGCCGATATCCGGGAAGTAATCAGAAAATGTTGGTCAAATGGATATCAGACTGCAGAGGAAGTCATATATGATTTGAAGGCTACGTCCTCTCCATCATGCCTGAGATTAGGTGGCCATTGCACTGCATCGGCACAATATCCATCGCCACCCTTCTCCTTCACGCAGGAAGCTTGTTTATGACGTCTTGCCTCATGTTTGGCTGTATCGTCTCAATTCTCCGTATTATCGGGATGTTATCGTCTTCCCCCTCAGGAAAAGTGCACCGAGAGTAGTGCTGCACCACTCGAGAGAAAACACAAATATTGATAATAGAAAGGTAGTGCTCTCTGATATGATGAGATGGCTAATTAGCAATATGTCAGCTTAAAGACATTAGCATGGTACAATACTCTGAGATGTAACATGCAAGTCAATCCACGGTTGATCAATCATATGGTTCATCCATCACGTTCCTCAGATGTTGTACATCAAACAGCCTAGGCTGCTTCCTATCAGGGATATCAGAAACTGCCTTATCGGCGTGATTCCTCAGCCCTTCAACGACATCAACTCCAATCTCGGAGTGAGTTCCATTGGACCAACGCTTAAACATCAGCAGCGATGGCAGGCCAGAGGGCAGACGATTAGACCTGCGACTGAACAGGGCCAAGATCGGGTTATAGTGTTGTGAGAAGATATCCACCACTTTGACAGACGCCATAATTTCCGAGTATCGACGGCCATTCTCCCTATACGTGATTCCAAGGTTTTGCAACATCTGCGGAGAGGAGAAGTTGACGGGGCCTTGGTTCGATTTAATCTGTAGCTACCCCGTAACCCACAGAGACTACCTAGATAGCTAGGTAGATAGCAGCTCTGGTCAATACGAGTATTGACCTCACCAATATTAGAATATAGTCTTTTTCTATTCATGGATACTAAGTGTAATGTGGCTGTTGTGATCACTAGTCACAATTGTCAGTCATGTTCTCAACAGTCCTCATCTGATATTGATTGAAGGCTTGGTGATCATGGTGCGAGTATTCAACTAGGCCCGCAGAAGTGACTACGCTATGTGCAGGAACTGGAACCCTCGATAGAACGAGGTCCAAAAATGAACGATCACGAAGAGGAAGCAGAATCGACAGATCGTAACGCATACTACAAATCACACAAGTTTCCTCGTAGGGCGACAGGTTCAGAGATGGTCGTTCCTCCTGAATTAAACCGTTGCGGGTAATCCTCGCGCCGGCCGTGCCAAATTGTCGACCCGTTTCTCAAATCTTGTGATGGAGACCTAAAAAGAACTTAGTAGACGATCTTAACTTAACTGTAAATCAAGACTGGCAGGATCATACTGCTTCTGTTCACTGTTCCCCTCCTTATCCTCAGGATTATAACAGCGATCATACCAAAACACGTCATCTGACTTATCGGCCCACCCAAGAGGCCGATTCGCATAGAAAGTCACTAAACCAGCGTCTTCTAGCAATTCTGGTTCTTTCCAAACAGAAGCAAAACATTTGTAGCATCGTGTAAAGTCTCCAGTCGTGTGAATCAGAGGCATCAGATCCAGGTGAGGACATGCGAAGACAGGCCCAGCTGCGACGAAAGAATCACCAGAGGATACTCGCAGAGAATACCAAATATTCAAAATCAATAAGCCCACAATAGAGATGGAGATTTCCGTGTAAATTCGCACTTCTCGATCTGTGTCTGAGTAGAATGGACAGGAATGGCCATCAAGTCGCCACCCATCACGTTCAAAGCCAAAACAGCCATATCGGACCCCGAGAGGCGTGATTGGGGACCGGAGAAGATCCATCACATGTTTTCGATCCCGACGAGTCAAATGAAGACATGGACATAATTCTATTAGGCCATCGTAGCGCGTGCAACGCCTCTCCAGGTTCGGTGCCTTGAGTGCGTCTGGCGTAAACATCTTTCGTGGTTTGAGCAATAAACATTTAGCGCAATATGCCCACCGGGAATTCTCAAGTCGAACAAGGAGTTGAATTCGTAGCTTCTCTTCGCTGTTTACGTGTGAAAGAGGAAGATGATGGTCCGTGGGTTGTGGGGGAAGCATTGAGCTGTCTTTGGCAAACACCTTATATTGGGAAAAGAGCTTTTCGCAGCTGAGAGCCAAACAGACTTGATCGACCAGGGGAAGATACTGATAGATCCGGGTCAAGAGGCTATCCTCCAAGGAGTAGATGGTTATGCGCTCACTCCCCGTAATGCGACGAAGGATAGGGCCGATGAAGGCTATGTTGTTGCAGATTTTCCGGACACTGCGCTGTCTGGCTTTGGGACTCGCGCCATTACGTTCCCCGCCGACTTTCAGGCTTGTCACTGACGTATACTTTTCCTTTTTGTTGTCAAGGGAACGGTTGGAAGGACGAGTCAGTCCACTGAGCAATGCTCGGCATTGCAGCATTTTTGGGATTTGATTGTAGCTTGGATTGGGGGCAAAGCGGGCTACTTGAGAGGTCCAATTTGTCTACGACGTAAGAAGCATCTCATACTTGACTTCGACCTGTTCAGAATGGCTATGATTTCAACTTTACAGTATACTCCCGTGGAGACCAACGGTACCTCTAAAAGAAGGTTAGTCAATGATATCCAGGGATCCGTAGATGCCGCGACGCTGTCCCCCGCTAACGAAGTATACCTATGGCCACGCATCTCGATTGTTTCAAAATATGCAGAAGGGCCCTTGAACCAACTTCTGGCAATACACAGCGTAATCACTGCGTCAGAGCAAGGAAATTTAAGCAAAGACTTGGAAAGGGTGGAAAGCTGCAATATGGCAGTCCCTCAGGCTCCTAGCTGTCCACGTGAAAACATTGCCAACATTACGCCAATTCCATCTTTTGCAGGAATATGGTGACCGGTTGATTGTGGCTATCGTGGAGCACCGTCCAATTTGCCATAAACGTATCCACTTCATTCAAAAGAAGTATAGCATTGAAGTGCTTTGCAATTTTGAAAATGACTTCAAGTTGTGATTCCAGTCATTGACTTAAGAGGATGTGAAATGGTTAATGTGCGCTTGTACCCTCGAACCAACATCTGGAAATGCTCAGCATCGTCATCAGGTAAGCGAGAATCCGGGCAGAGACTCCTGTGTTGCCAAGCAAACAAAGCTCCATCTGTCACGAGACATGTCCAAGTGCGGGGGCGTTCTCTGCTTATTACTGAATGACCTCGATGACGAGGTGTGTGAGACTGTATGCAGCGAAAATGGGTGTCATTGTCAGGGACGGGCTTCCCAACGGTGCGTTGGTGGGTCAACCCAAAGTATTTGATCGACTTGGCGACAGGTGAGGGGATACCCCGAGTCTGCATGGCAGACTAATGTCTTATGGGGACCTTGGATGATAGGGACAGGAGCTACTTTGCCCCCACCCTTTAGCCTAAGATGTCTGGTGAGAACAATGTTGGCAATTGCAACTTCCAAGGTTTCATTCCGCTTGAACAGGGGGAGATCTCCCCTTGATGGGCTTTCTCATCACCGAGAAGATGCTATTATAGCCATAATCGACATGTGTGTATAATAAGAGAGAAAAAAAGGAAAGAGGGCTGGCTACAGCTTAGCGAACTCTGCCCCAATTTGGTTGAGCATGGCCGCATGATCCTTGCTATAAGTGTCACCATCTCTGGCAATCACTTCACGCACCCAAGGCCCACGAGGGTTAAACGAAGCCTTGAAAGGCAGGGCCCGCATAACCAGGCCGTAGGTGCATGCAATAGGGTCAACGAGGATGGGCTCGCCCGTCTCCTCAGACAGGCCAGCCTTGATGTCGAATGACCATAGCAGCTGGGCGACGACTACCCAGATAGCATTACGGGCGAAATACCGCCCCGGGCAGGTCCGCCTTCCATAGCCGAAGACGGCAGGGGGGAGGGCTTTGAGCGTTTTGCCGTCCTCGTCGAGCCAGCGATCCGGTATGAAATCGTCGGGATCCGGGCCGAACAAGGCCTCTTCCCGGGAGATTGTCCAAACGTTGGGTACAATAACAGATCCCCTGGGAATGATATATCCATTGTAGGTAGTCTCCTCCTTGTTCAAGTGAGGGACGCCCTCGGGGCCAGCGGGTCGCCAACGGAATATCTCTTCGACAATAGCGGTGACGTACGGCAGCTTGGGCTTGTCATCTGGGACTGGGAGTCGGTCGCGCCCGACAACGGCATCCAGCTCCTCGCGTGCCTTGGCGACGAAGCCCTGGTCTTGGGTGATGCAGGCCACCACAAACCAGATCAAGCTGTCTGTAGTACCGTCCAGCGCGGCGTCAATCATGGTACCAAGCTCAAACGCTAGCTCGTCCAAGGGCATGTCGAGGCTATCCTTTTCGACGGTCTTCTTGAGATGCTTTGATATATTCCAGGCGTCCGACTCCAGGCCCCGCCGAAAGTTTTCAGCGCGCAGATCATACTTGGTCGTGTAGTGATTCTCAGCCTTTGCCTGCCATGGGGCCAAGAAGCCGGGCAGATTATTAAGCACAGGGAACTGGTCAACAATGTGCGCGCCAACCTGGATAAACTCGGAGAACTCATCGTTGAGTTTAACAACGGCGCGAAGCACCGGGTCGTTGTAGTCTTTGACACGGAAGCCATACAGCAACGCATGGATGATGCTAGCGACTGCGCGCTGAAAATGTCCTTGAACGTCAGCACCAGCGCCGCCCGCATTTTCCAGGAGATCGTGTATCAATTGCTGTGATTCCAGAGTCTGGAAGGGGAGATAGGCGGCTGCCGGCGTCGCGTTTAACACTGAGACCTGTAGCCTCTGATGTTGTCGGAATTGGTCGGTGTAATTCATCATGAGGATGTTGAGTCCTTTCAAGGCCAACTCTGTCGCCAACTCCAGTTCGGATTAGCTCATATTGCACGTACAAGGGGAGGAGAGTAGAGTCTTACAAAAAGACGAGGTCGGTCCGAAAATATGGCTCCACGCTTCGCTAGGAGGTCGTGGGCTACTTCAGACGTAGACAAAATGATGATGGGCTGTCCAAGCATGTTGACGTGAACGATGGGCCCATACTGCTTGCTCCATTCGCGATACGTCCTCCAGCCGTGGGACTTGGGAGCTTGGTGGACATTGCCAATTATCGGCAATGGCTTGGGGCCCGGCGGCAGGGACAAAGACGAAGTTGATTTACGCCGCGTGACAATATACACGGCTATTAGCAGACCGACAATGGCTATGAATGTTGCTGAATGCATGATGATTGGAATTAGAAGAATAAACAACCAGATCTAGAGTGTCCGCGATGGAAGTAGGTTAATTGCCCTGAAATGGGTTGGAGGGGAAGAGAAGGAAAAAGGCAACATGGCTCCTGTCTGCGGTTGTTTCGCGAGCTGACAAGAAACTGATGAGTAGTCGATACTACCTATGAGCCACGCGTAGGGGAATTGGCGCAGCTAATTAATATTAGGTGACTAGGTCTGGCGAGTATGAAGCAGGTCATGGAGGGCGGTGAGTGCTTGACTATCTCGAAGACTCGAAGTATTTTGATCACCTCAAATTCATTAAGGGTACGGAAACTTTTGGGGCCGACTGTATATTCTTAGATAAGCAATACTGTCTTCGTCTGTCCGGAGACTTTTGACCTATAATGTAGTTAAATGATATCTTCTCTGATGATGACCATGGTAATTAAAAAATATAGAGAGACTACCTACTATATGCGCTCTATTTTTTGGAAACGATTAGTGTTTTAGCTCTCATTCGGTGGACTCAACACCCTCTTCCCTCTCCACCTCCTGCTCCTTCCTCCTCCGCTCTGCACCTCGCCTTGCCAAATGTCCGCCTCCGTCTCCGAGCCTTCACTCAGTGTGCTCTTCCCGGGCGGCATCTCGGACACAACACACAGCACCTCCGACTGCTGCTTTAGGCCCTCTAACTGGCATGAGACTAAGTTATCATCCAGCAACTTCCCCTTGTAGAGTAACTTAATGCGCGCTGCCTCAGCTCGCCGACGCTGAGCGCCCTGTTATTAATGGCGTACGCGGGGAAGAGCAAGGCGTAGGTATTCTTGTGATGTTTGAGGAGGAGAGTATCCAGCTCGTCTTCTTCTGTTGCTGTGTTGCGCTCGCTGTACAGGCGTGCGGGCGGGTCCACAGTATCCTCCGGCGTGAGGTTGGTGTAGTTGCTGTTGCTGATGTGCGGCAGCAAGGCCCTATAATAGGGCAAAGAAGGTGCCTTTTGTGGTACAGCAGGAGGGGATTTGTACTCGTTATAATTGTGTTGAGGAGCAGAGCCGGGAGGCGCCCAGTGTAACAGTAACTGGATGATCTTGTCATGTCCTCCTTTAGCAGCTTCCCTCAGGGCAAATCCACTATTTTCAGCAAGCTCCTTCACTCTAATTATTATGATCAGATTGTTCACTTCATGGATCCAATCATTTCCTCTTCCCCCTTGATGTATATGTGAGAAGGAATCTGTGATAGCCTTGAAACTGATCTTAAGTTCATCATAAGGACGACTGGTAATCAGAAACTTTAACCAGGATTTATGGGCCGATGAATCGGTTAGATTGTGGAAGTCCTTGAGTCTCTAGATGAGTTATTCTTAATCAGCTAGATGGCATTTATCAAGCACATTAAGGACATAAATAGTATTGGCTGATGTGGGATCTGATGTCACAGCTATAAAGATCCGCTAAAGTTCACCAGCCTCTTGCTAAAGCTAGTTCCCACTCCTTTCCCTTAATGGCAGTGCATAATGTAAGAGATTAGGATGCTAGCTAAAGAGCTGGCGAAGTATGGTGTATAATGCTATAGAAGATCCCCAATATCTAGATAACTAGTTAGTTAATTATTACTTATCTACTGTGGATGTGGACGGAAGCAGTCGCTATTGAAGATATTTAGATAGTGTATACAAGAAGGAGAGAAAGCTAGCTTAGTAGTAGTAGTATAGCATGTAGTGTATTCATTGGTGTCTTGTCTGTTGTTGTGTCTATCTGTGTGGGAGATATTTTTGAGGTGGTGTGCCCTCGGGTAGCCGGCCCACCGCCTTTCTGCCTGAGGCATGATCACATGATCATGCCTCAGGCTCCCATGGATGCACCAGGTCACATGACTGTGCCTGAGGCACCCACACACAGAACGCCATGGTTGACCTTGCATCAACAGTCGCTACCCTTATTTCTGGTCCCTTGATCAAACTGTTGCCAAGCAGAAGCTTTGCAATTTTGCCTCAGATAGCTGAGGATTTGGGAGTGGAGGGGAGAAAAATTAGCGCTAGACAGCACTGCTGGCTAGAAGGTGGTTAAGTGAAGGTAGGTTAGAGCTCAGGTGAATGAGACCTAATGGAATTAGTGAGAGACTTAGGTAGTGAATGATATATAGGGATTTATATTATGTGAATAGTACCTTAGCAGTGAAGTGATAGTGGAGGTTTAATTACCATCCACTTGCAAGGGAGATGGGAATGCTCTAGATTCAAAGATTTTAGTTGAGGCCTTCATCCCTGCCCTTATACGTACAGACGTACGGTTCTCCCGGACCCTGGTTAAGTATCTTATCCACTTTTGAGTCTTGTGGCTTCAGAGATTGACAGACCAGAAGAGTACGTCAGGCAGATCGAGATCAGACCGGCTAGTCTTGCTGGGGTTTACTGTACACTGGTTGTCACACCGACATAATCAAGCCATGGATGTTCTCACTGTCTCTACGGAACCAACTATGCGTTTCCAAAGCTACTCAACTATCTGTAGGGTTAACGACCCAGGATATTCATTCCCTGAGATCTACATCAGCAAAGGAAGCAGTATGTGTATGACTTCCACATGCATCTACAGATGGGCTGACTTGATTCTACACAGGCTCTCCAGAGGGATGGGAACCAATGCATAATAACAAAGAAGGGGGGTGCTGTAGAAAGCGCTCATATCTATCCATATTCTCTTTATTCCGACTCCTATTATAAACATGTTGGGTTTTGGACTGCACTCGCGATGTTCTGGATGTTCTGGCCGGAGAGTGTCATTAAACATTGGCAAAGAGACATCTTAGGGGGGCTTCACCCTGAGGACTGTGCCAACCTTATCGCCCTGTCCCCCAATGGACACATTACTGGCGGAGATGCCTCTTCGCGTTGGAGCCAGTTGCTCTTCAGCCAGGATCAGAAACGCCTTGAGCTTGAGTTTCACTGGCTACGGCCGGTGTCCTGGTCTTCCACAGTCCTTCTAACTACTAAACCATCCCTCCCAGAGTCCCTAGATGGTAGCATTGGGGGTGTTGCTCTCTTTGACGCCGGCTTAAATGTCAGGATTTGCTCAGGCCATAAAACACTGCTTGAAACAGACGACCCTGTCAATCGCCCACCATCTGTGAAATCAACTACACTGAGTCCAGTGTTTTCTCAGAAACTTCTCGAATGGCTCAAGCTCAAAGCCGACGATGTCGAATTCAGAAATGGGATGGAGCTTATTGGGCTTGACGTGAGCGATGGGGAGATGGTGATCAACCCTACAACATATTCAAGATCCAATGCCTGTAACGTTGCAGTAGTTATGGATCTAATTGAGCATCTTATTACTGCAAACGCAATTCATGGTTTGTCTTGCTGCATCCTTCCAACCTATGCCAATCAAAAAAAGGCTTATATTGATGCAATGCTCAACCTTTCGCGCCAACTCAACATTGCTTGGGAGGACATGGTTTCTGTATTTATGGTGGATGGAATGCAGGGCAACCGAGCCTATATTATCATCGTCGACTAGGTTGTTACCTCTGGTGAATTGAGTGACTTAGGCTTCGCCTCTGATAATCGCTGTGCTAACGTCGCTCTGATGTGCGCATGTGCATGTCTCATTATGGTTGCAAACGGCCAAATAATCAATAATAATTGGCTTGACGGTGACAAAAGTAAGGCGAGGGTGCCTCCAGAAATCTTAGTTTGTTAGAAGCACTTGCTGGACAATGATCTGATTGTTCCATGCCCTCATGCTCTGTCTGACGATGTCAATGACACCCCTACAGATGCTGATGATACTGTGGTCTGTGATGCCTCTGCAGTTGCTTATGATGATGGTGACGCCTTTGTTAATTGGTAGGCAACCATTACTTCATGATGACTGGGAAAGGACAAGGGAAGAGCAAAAAAAAAAAGTTTACAACTCCCCTAAAAGATGAGGTCCTATATAACCAGGCATCTGTTTCGTTGAATATTTAGTACCTTCCTAACTTCTCTTTCCTACCATCACAAAACACCTCTGTCCTAGTTTCCTGAATCCCCCTTCGTCACTACCTCTTGGTTTCTATTCCCGCTTCCTCATCCAGAAGGATCACCTTCCATTTTCGCGCTTTTTCGCACCCTTCTTTATTGTCATCTTTAGACACTTCCCCCCATTTGCAATTCTTCATGCAGTTCACCATGGCACCGTCAGCCATCTCTCAGCCATCGATCACTTACCATCCCAAGGCGTCAAACGCTATCCCAGTGGATTCGCCAGCAGAGGCACAAAATCACGTTATATCATTCTTGCTCAGTCGTAACGAAGAGAACTTGCTACTGAGGCTGTCGTGGGACAACCTCACCAAGGACATCCGTCACATTTTGAAAAAAGCCTCAGAGAAAAAATTGTGCAACTGGGAATATGACCCGGAATATGGAATCTTGAAGGTTAAAGCTATGGTTTCTCCTCTGCATGCCGCCCTCAACGCGTGCATCTTCCGATCTTTCACGAAGGCGAATCATACCACCCTAACTCCTGACGAGGCCATGTGCATTGTGGCAAGCCCACTGTCCGTTCGCCTATTCAGAACACCTCAAATCAATCCTGGAGACAAACGTGGAGATAAACCTGCAGTGTGGATGAAGCATCCTGATGACGTGATATATTTCGGGGAGTTGGGAGGCGAAGAACAATTTCTACAAATTGTCGTCGAAATTGGGTTCTCGGAAAGCTATTATGACCTGGTCCGTGACGCTTCACAATGGCTACTGCGGTCTGGTGGTCAGCCCAAACTAGTGATCATTGCCAAAATAGAGGAGGACAAGCATCAGCGCGATATCCATCAGAAAACAGAGCAGTTTAAATGCACTCGCGATTAGCTTATTACTAAATATGGAGATGAGATGTCCCAAGCAACACACGATATTGAAAGTACCACAGATGGGATTCAGGATTCCTCACCCGATTTGTATAAGGCAGTTAGATCTGAAGTCGTTGTGTCTGATTGGGTTGGCCCAATCTCTGTATATCTAGAGGTTTGGGAGTTGAGAGACGGACAACCTGCTTTGAGGGAGCCACGCATTGTGAGTCTTATATTGATGAACGAAGGATAGAACTGATTAGGTCTTTAGGATGTTCTTCCACCCCCCGCTAATCCGCGAAACCTTGTACTTAAAATCACAGATTTAATTCCTGAAGATTGCCGGAGCTTGTTTCCCAACTTCGATGCGTCGAGGACTTTAACCATTGACATGGGGTTCTTTCGTCATCACCTAAACGTGGCGAGGAAGTGGACAGCGTTCAACAGAGCTTTGGAGGTGATTCGACCGCTGGACAAGGATGAAAACAACCCTGAGTATCTGCCCTGGGCGATCTCTTGATCCTTATGCTTTACTTCTAATGACAGGGCCGTTGGTTTTGCTGTGTTTCCGAGGGTTATGCATGGTGTTCGGAGGATTAGCTTATTATTAAGAGAGACAATGTACTAGCTCAGGCAGTTTAACACCAAGAATCGATCATTCTTTGCTTTCATTTTAGGAATTATAACTTCTCAGCTCTGGAGATGCATACATAAGCCTCAGGAAAGAGGGTACTGAAGAGGCTTGATATGCTCAAGGTTAGAGTCCCAGGCCCCCGGAGGGTGCGCAGCTAGTACAAAGGCATTGAAAGAACCTTTGGATTGAGGCAGCTCGTATAGTAGATGTAGTTCAGTTGTTAGGTAGAGAGAGTATAGATAGAGTACGGAGGTTGAACGAGTGATAAAGAATGCCCAGACTCCCATCACCCCAGTCAGGCGAGCTCAGAGCGGCATTGCTCACAAAAACCAAAAGAGCATAGTTCACTATACGCACTGAATCCATGGAATGAAGCCCATAGTTTGAATTAAAGATATGCAAATAAAAATACATAGGCAATTTCCGAGTCTCATAAATAAGGACCATGCCACCTGCACCTATACTATAATATTTGGGTGGGTGAACAGGGGCCAGAAGTGCCCTAAAGGAAGACTGAATAGGGCAGCAAGCCGCCCATGCAGCGCCTGGTGACCACTACCATACTTATGCTGTTGAATGTTTTTTTCTTGTGTCTTCTTTTTATCTGCGTTTCTTGTTGAGATACTGATTTTCTTGTGAGTGGTGGCCTTGATTTCAAGATGTACAGAGTAGTAATGAGGGAACCTAAACAGCTACACTATAGTTATACAATGCACCGCGCTGGATAACCACACACTCCCCAGCTCCTAAACAGGCAATTTCTTTAATTTGACCAGGCATGGGAGGACTTTACAAGTCGTATCCGTTTTCGTTTTCGTAAATCTCATGACCACTCTCCCTTCTGCGGTGTAATCCTCTGGCCTCATCTTGAAGCCAGAAGCCCCTAGAAGCGTAGTAGCTACTTCCAGCCTTTCAATATATTTGGCCAAATATTGTTCTCTGATTCCCTGGCCCATACAACAACTCCCCTCACTAATTCCCAACATGCCGCTGTGAAGATCCTATAAGAAGTCCCGCAACGGCTGTGAGCAGTGTAAGAAAAGAAGGGTTAAGGTTGGGAAACCCTGTGCTTCTAGTTGCCGCTTTGCTTTAAGTTATCCCTAGAATCTAAGCTTGTATGTATACTAATGCACTTATTGATAAAACTATAGTGTAATGAGGAGAACCTGTGCTTAAATTGTTTAATGTGGGGAATGAATTGCAGCTATGAGTATCGCCCTAGTCTGCTCTCTTGTGGATATGGATCAGATATCAGCATGTCTAACTCAGGTTCTGAAGTGAGAGATGATTGTACCGGCCTCTCCGTGAAGATGTCTTTGGCTCTTTCTATCAAAAGATGACCATGCTTGCCCTGTCTTCAGAATGGACCGGCCGCGACCCTGAGTTGATGCACCATTATTGTCTCCACACCTCCACATCTATGGCAAGAAGACCAGAGATGCAAGAAGTGTGGCAGGTTGATATCCCTACGATTGCATACTCGTACGAGTTCTTGATGCATGGGATCCTGGCCCTATCAGCAATTCACATCGCCTGTAGCTGTCCTGAAAAGTACAGCAGCTATCTGAAAAGCTCCAGGTACCATATTACTCTCGCCCTGCCCTCCTTCCGAAAGGCTCTTCACTCGCCAACAGCTAAGAACTGCTGCGCACTGTTTGCCTCTTCCAGCTTAATCATGGTGTACACATTCGCATCCCCTGCAGAACCGGACAGTGCTAGTATATCGCCAGTTCTAAACTCCGTCATCGAACTCTTTAAATTATGTCGAGGTATTATGGCACTTGAGAGCTTCATGGATATAATACAAAGTAGCTCTCTTCGACCACTCTTGCGGCAGGATTTCGGCGCCCCAACCTCTCTGGCGAAGTAAGTTTCCTGGCTAGTGTCCGTGTCTCGTCTGAACCGTAGCTGTATTCCCTGTTGTGCAATTGGGATATCGCGCGCTCTGTGATCTTGTACAAGTGAAGTCCTGCGCACTTTAGCTAACAGCACCATAGGGGAAACCAAACTGATCTATTCAGTGACATAGAGGGCCAGCTCCACCAACTTAGCTACTTCCTTGAGGCGGAGGTCCCGGAAATCCAGCAGAGAATTGCATGCAGTTACGCACTACAGCAACTCTATTTTTCATTCAAGTGTATTGAGAGTGCTGAATTGCCCTTGGAGTGTGGAATGATTTACATCTGGCCTCTCTCCGTCGGGGAAGAATTTATCTCTCTTGTGAAGCAAATGAACGTGGCAGCTCTTGTATTGATGGCCTATTATTGCGCCCAGGTCTGTGTGTTCGAAGATTACTGGTTTGTTGGGAAAAGGGCACGAATGCTCTTTTTTGAAATCTCAACTGCATTGCCTGGACGGCTATCGACTTTGCTGGACTGGCCGAGGGAGGTCATATATCAGGATCTTGGAATGTAATCTACTGCTTGATAACTAGTTTGTTAGTAGCAGTCAGCATCTTCCGTTAATGATTAGATTCTATGCCGATTAACTATTAACTCCCTGGCCACTTCCCCTGTCTCTCACTGCCACACCAGGCAAAGCCTGTTGACAATATCTAGGTACAGTAAATACTCCGTGCATGACCTAAATTGACCAGCCGTCCACTCTACGAACCGGGTGCTTACACCCGGAGACCGATCCGGGTCGAGAGACAAGTGAGTTCATACTTAAATCCTGGATGAACACACTCACTAACAGATTCAAGTTAAGGATCTCACAGGCAATAAAAATGGAAATTGGCATTATCGGCGCAGGAGTCATCGGGCTCACATCAGCCTTGGCGCTTGCCGAGGCAGGGTATTCAGTGACTATCGTTGCGCGAGAGCTACCGGGTGACAATTCTCAAAACTGGGCGAGTCCTTGGTATGAACCGAACCTTTGTTTTTCTTAATATCCTGCAAAGATTCACATATGAGACCCGTCATTCAGGGCCGGTGCGGGTATACTGCCCCATCCCGATAGCGAAGGCCACGAACTCCAGGCCGAGTCGTTCAAGTATTACTGGGCACTGGCCCATCGAGACCCAACAAGTGGCGTACAGGTTTGTATTGTTCTTTCCTTTGCGGCTTGATCGCCTTTCTTTCCGTCATGCACATCCACTCATGGGTCCTACGTAGGTAGTAGATGTGATCGAATACTACGACGATCGGACCGATGACTCGACCATCTGGTACAAGCGACTAGTACCCAAGTACCGGCGTCTTCCTACAACGGATCTTCCGGCGGGTGCGAAGATCGGATTCACATACCAGTCGATGACAGTGAATCCGGCCGCGTTCCTCCCGTGGATCAAGCGTCTCCTCGACTCCAAGGGGGTTCGGTTCGTCCGTGCCGAGGTCAGGTCCATCACTGAGGCACAGCGGATGCTTGGGACCAAGGTCATCGTGAATGCCTCTGGCGTGGGCGCATTGGATCTGGCTGGTGACAAGGAAGTAGTCGCCGTGAGGGGACAGACGATGTTGGTACCAAGTGAATCGCATGAAATGATCATGTTTCAAGGCTCGCATTATACCTACCAGATTCCTCGAATGTACAGTGGAGGCGTCATCATTGGCGGAGTCAGCCAAGAGGGGAACTACGATCGGACAGTGACGCCTGAACTACGGACGGACATTCTGCGACGAGTCAATCTCATCACCAAAGATCGCTTCCAATCGGTCGATGTTGACAGGAACGTCATACAGGATTTAGTGGGGTTCAGACCTGGCCGAAAGGGAGGGTATCGCCTGGAAAGGGAGGGCGATGTCATTCACGCCTATGGGTTCAACACTTTGGGGTATACGTACAGCTATGGAGTCGCACTGAAGGTGCTGGAGCTAGTGCAGCAGAGGAGCAGTTTCAAGAGCAACCTATGAGTTTGAAGAGGGGCATTGGCAATGGTTTACAGTCTGCTATTCATAAAACTGGGTCATCTAGAAGCCTAGAGTAAGGGCAAGGATTCATTTAAGTCTCGATGGTTCGCCATTCACCAAGGCAACACACTCAATCTCAACCTGCAGACTCTTAGGCAGCGTCTTGACAGCCACGCAGCTCCTGGCCGGCTTATGAGGAAAATAAGTCTCATAAACCTCGTTGAACTCGTCGAAATGATCCATATCATTGAGAAATACGGTGCATTTCACCACTTTGCTGATATCGCTTCCCGCCTAGGCCAAGACCGCTTGGATGCTCTTACAGCACGCCCGCGTTTTGTCTGCAATACTCCCTTGGAGCGGATTTCCATTGGCATCGATGGGAATTTGGCCCGAGAGAAAGATGCACGGGCCTGCGACCATCGCCTGGGACTATTGTGGAGGGGCACGGTCAGCTAGCGACCTTTGCCATCAAAGGTTGAGAGTTGAGAGATTGAGAGCGCCTTACATAGGGTCCGATTGCTACCAGATCTTCAGTGTTAATATTATAGCCCACTTAATTTGTTGTACTCAGGGGAAGGAACTAATCCCATACTCACCAGGGCAGGCTTTAGATGTTGAGATTGCTCTCAATTCGGAATCGCCAGACATGGTGTTTGAAGGAAGAGGAATCCAGGGTGATGAATAGATGATGGGTCTGACAACGGATGATGTCTCCTACTCTCATAATATAGCATTAAGCAGGTCATTAACAGAATCTGCCAAGGCCTGCAGATAGTCTATAATGAAATTTAAAGCAAGCCATCTGGGTCTAAGGGCAGCCGGGCCGCGAACAACTCGGGTACATGTTCCCCCTATGTCACAATCCATGATCCGGCGTGAAATAGCAAGGAAAAGAACGTTAGATAAGGAAGTACAATGAGATCTAAGTACTGGAAATTCCCCAAGGCCTCGTTTTCAGAGTGTATACCACACCTGGTGTCAACCCTTACAAAATCTCCGAAAATTTCCATCCCGCCATCAAAATTGATCCAAACAAATATCTGACCGCGTGTTATGGCTCCAAAATGTTGTGTGCTCTTGATTGGGGCAGGAGGAGTTGGAACCATCGCTGCGCTTAATCTGGAGATTAGGGAATTGGCTGAAGTCACTTGCGTCTTGCGGTCCAACTATGAAAGTGTTATGGCCAGGGGATTTGAAGTTATCTCCTGTGAACACGGCCATCTTTAGGTTGGCGGCCGACTGCCAGTATATCAATCTAATTCCCTAGCTGAATATTATGGGCTAACGAGCGTCCATATCAGTCTTAAACGTAGTGCCCCATGTTGCACCTAGTGAGAAGAGCCGGTTCTTCGACTATATTGTGTGCACCACTAAGAACATACCTGATGTCAGCCCCTTAGTATATAAGATTATTGCACCTGCAATGATCCCGGGGCTTACTGTTATTATTCTCATCCAAAATAGGCTAAACATTAAGAAACCATTCCTGTCTTGTTTCCTATATAATGTTATTCTCTCTGGCGTGAGTCAAATCAATGCTCATGAGATCGCCCCTGGAGTGATTGAGTAGAAAGAGAATGATCATCTATGCATCAGTGCCTTTTACAATAACCTGCTTAGCAAGGATATTCAACAAAAGGCTGCAGAGCAATTTGTAAGTATCTACAGTGCAGGAGGCAAGACTAGTGTCTGCTATGAGCTGGACTGGGAGCAAGAGTGATGGAGAAAACTGGTCTACAACGCAACTTTAAATCCTATATGCGCTCTTACTGGGGTGAACACTGGCGATTTACAAATATGCGGTTCTTTGGATCACTTGGTTATTCCCGCTATGCAGGAGGTGGTCAAAATAGCCTGAGCTGTTGGAGTTGATTTGCCCAAGGATATCATCGAGACAATGATCCGCATGTATCCGATCGAGAACAAAATATGCCCTAGTATGCAGAGGGACATGCAAAAGGTATGCGTTGTGTGAAAAGTTTGAGATGGACTAGGGGGAACTAACAGTTGCAGGGCAATCTTCTTGAACATGAGAATCTCCTAGGTGAGGTGATCCGCGAGGCACAGAGGCGAGGTGTTCCCGCGCCTAATCTATCGGTGTCGTATGAACTCTGCTCGGCTGATCAGTGGAGGATACGAAAGGAAAGCGAAGAGCGTAGCTAGGACATTTAGTATACACCAGTAATTTTCTACGGGACTCATTCATCTTGATCAGTACGTGCTCTTCCTCTTGGATAATGGAGCTGTTGGTTTCATAAGTGATTATGATAAGCAAGAATTCCTCATGCATATTCAAGCATATCCTCGAGACTGGATACTATTGGATTGGAAATGCTTCGAGATCCCATGAAAAGAGTCCTCGGCCCGATGTACACTGAGTTCCGGGCCGGTGACCCTCCCTGAGATATCAACAGGTACTTTAATAGGCTTTCCTTCTCATCACAGCTGTGTCACCTCACTCAAGCCATTCAAAATCATGTCGGTTCCCTCATATGGCATCGCCTCCATCCCAGGAGATGGTGTCGGTCCCGAAGTCGTGAAAGCTGCCATTGAGGTGGTCACGAAGCTGGCCGCCGTATTGCGCACTTTTGAAATCGAATTCACGTGGGGTTCCGACTACTGGGAAAAGACGGGCTCCTACGTTCCTGACGACTACTTGGAAGTCTATCGACAGTTCGATGCATGTCTCTTTGGTTCCGTCGGCGCACCAGGTGGGTCAGGAATTACCTAAACTTCCTGCCAGTGGCTGATTGATGAAGATGTCCCCGATCATATCTCCCTCTGGGGTCTCCTCCTCGCCATCCGCAGTCCACTCCAGCTCTTCGCCAACGTACGCCCCGTGAAATCCTTTCCGGGGACCAAGAGCCCCTCGCAGCCCCGCCCGAAAACGGAATTGACTGGGTGCTCATCCGCGAGAACTCTGAAGGTGAATACTCCGGACACGGCGGACGCTCACACATCGGTCAGCCCTGGGAGACTGCGACTGAAGTGGCCATCTTCACACGGATAGGCGTGGAGCGGATCTTCAGGTTCGCTTTTGAGACGGCGCGCTCGCGGCCAAGAAAACATTTAACTGTCGTGAGCAAAAGCAATTCCCTTCGGCACGGGCTGGTGCTCTGGGATGAAGTTGCCGCAGAAGTGGCCCGCGATTTCCCGGATGTGACCTGGGATAAGGCACTGGTAGATGCAATGACTGTTCGGATGGTGAATAAACCAGAGACGCTAGACACTGTTGTGGGGACAAATCTGCACATGGATATTCTGTCTGATCTGGCCGCGGCTCTGGCGGGATCGATTGGCATTGCAGCCTCGAGTAACCTCGATCCGACGCGGAAGAACCCGTCCATGTTTGAGCCAGTCCATGGGAGTGCATTTGATATCACTGGCATGGGGGTTGCGAACCCCATTGGCGCGATCTGGTCTGCAGCGGAGATGTTGACATGGTTGGGCCAAGGAGCAGAGGCGGATCGACTCATGGATTGTGTCAAGTCTGTTTGTCAGGCGGGGGTTGTGACTGCGGATCTGGGAGGTTCGGCTACGACGAGGGTCATAGTCGATGCCATCTGTGAGGAGATATCTCGCCAAGGGCCCCTGTGAGCTTCCTGCCAAGACTAGTTAATGTATCACGGTGGTGGAGTATAGTTGTTTAATTGTGATTTGTTAGTGGCACGTCAAAAGCTTGAACCCAGGGCCTTGAAACTGCGCGTGTTCTGCTTGGGGCAGATTCCTTTGACGCACAGATTACTGGTCGCTCGATTCATGATTCCAGATCAAGTTATTAAGAATATTTCGCAGTCAACACACACATTCTCTCTGGAAATGATATTTTTCTCTAGTCCGAAGGGAGTCAAGACATACGCAAGCTCGCTGCATATGCTGCGGTCGTCTGGCAAGTCAGGGGCAAGATTGTGTGTGTACTTGCCTGGAGAGGAGCTTGTATCCGTGCATTGAGGAGGATTTCGGTGGGACTGGCCTTGAAATATGCTCGTAAATATAGTTCAAGTGATTCAAGTGAACATTTAAAATGAGACCACCGACTCCCGCTTTATGTAGGTGGATGATATGTGATGAAAGAATTGCTTGTTCCAGCCCGGGAATAGTAGGCATCTCCTAAAGGGAACTCTACATACGTTATATGCCTTGGTTGTTGGGAACGAGAGTTCCTCCATCGATGACATCTCCGACTGACCAGAAAAATAGAATTGACCCTTTCGGAGATAATGTCAACTCTGACCGTTTAAGGACGCCCAGAGTTGGTCGCTCGCGTCTTTTCATGGCGAGCTGTTTTATCGTGAGAACCTTTCTATCATGACCCCCTCTCTTGGCATGTGCCTTGCCCCACACTCGTCCAATCTTCAATGATTCAATCCCTTCCGAGTCTCCGTATCCTCCTTTCACTGGGCCTCAACTGATCCCTTCCACGAGCCAGGAGGGCGGCGTTCTCTGTTTCACGATAATGCGTCTATTCTTCTGCATGGCCCAGGACAAATATGTTCTTCCGTTAGATCATGTCGGAACCTCAGAGTACCAGACCCCACGGTCGTCAAAAGCGTCCCAGGGTCCCGGATGCCTTGCGCAAGAGGGTTGCGCAAGCGTAAGATTTCCCATCATTCGCTCTCAATTGGAAGCATGCGCTAATTGAAATCCCTTCTTCTAGATGCGATTCATGCAGATACCACAAGGAGAAATGTACTGAGGGCTTTACCATATTGCCTCGAATCCGCTAACCGACGACACCAGGCCATGGCGGCTTGCCTTGTGTGCGATGCCAGCGATATAAGCGGACATGTCAATACAGCCAAGTCGATAAGCGATCAGAGCAGGTAGTTCAGTCAAACGTTTCGAGGTATGAAGTTGGCCTGTGTTTCGCTGCAACACAATTTCGGGCGCTCAACTGATATGGTATTCTGCCAGTCATTCCCCGCAGCCGGCGTCGGACAAGCAACGACACCTGGAACGGATTGTACAGCATTTTTTGGGTGATATATCATTGGAGACGTCAAATCTGCGAGTTGTTGCGGATATGCTGGAGGGAAATCGCTCAGAACTTCGCAATGCATCCATATCAGCCCCAAACCAGGAAGATTGCGCCATAATGGACAGCTATTCCATTCATCCGCTTTCCACTAGTACAATGCGTATGTCGAACAAATTCTGGACTGGAACCAGGCTATTCGTGCCCATACTCTGCCTACTAATGCCGTTACATAGACTACTCTGGAGAGTTCTCTCACTGGAACTACTCGCGCATGATCCGCCGCCGATTGCAAAGCCTTGGGAATGACCCCGATGACAATGCGGTATTTATTCTTCCACGAATAGTACAGCAGTTACAGTGCCGTACTGACAGGATCATCAGGCAGGCGACGTTGCGATAGCCAATGACTCATTTCGTGCAACCAGTCTCCAGTCCACCAGTTCGCTCGTCAAGTCGTCGACAACGTACTTTCCGCCACGGCATATTGCCGACTTCCTGACAAACACTTTCTTAGAGTACGCACAGACGAATTACTTTTATTTCGACGAGATAGAGTTCCGGCAGAAACTAGACTACTATTACACCATCGAACGTCCCTTGGACATCAATGACGCCGGCTGGATATGTACAATTCTAATGACATTTGCAATCGGAACGCAGTTCGCTTACATGCACGGCGACCGCTCACAGGCCTTGCGCGACCCACCCGGCGAAAATAGTCTACTTGACGATCACATTGGATTGGCTCTCTATCGGCATTCATGTCGCTTGATTCCCGATTTAATTACCATTGCTTCAATCGAGACAGTTCAGGCATTTCTGCTGCTTGGTGTCTACACACTCCCCATTGATACTTCCGGTCTTGCTTACACTTATTATGGGCTGGCTATCAACATGGCCATCCAAAATGGGATGCATCGCCGATTCGCGGGGGATGGCTTGGACGCACGAACAATCGAAGTTCGGAACCGCCTTTGGTGGTCAGCGTATTCGTTGGAGAAGTACGAAAAACCTAATTAATTTACTACTAAAGGATGTGTCGCTTTCTAACATGTCATGCACAGGAGGATTAGCATTCTTCACGGGCGTCCCTTCTCTGTGTCCGCTGCTGAGACAGACGCTGAGCTTCCCAAAGACTTGCCTGAACTGAGACCACCCAATCGTGCGATCAACCTCCTTAATGTCAATGCTACTATTCACTTGACCGAGCAGCTTGGAAAGGTCGCACATATCATGTGAGTAACTCAGCTAACACTAGTTGCATTTCCGCACGCTTTTAACAGTGAGTATAGAGGCCGGCTACGGCGACTTCCACGAGGCTTGCACCAGCCCTTTTTAGAACAACTCTTTTACATTCACAATGAAATCATAAGATGGTGGGACTCTCTCCCCAAGAAGGTGCATTGTCGGGACCTTGATCCTTTGGGCCCCCTTTTCCGCTGCAATATTCACATGGAATTAAATTACGCTATGCTCAGGCTGTACATGGGCCGCCCGTTCATTCTGATTCGGGCAGCAAACTCGTCAAGTGCAGGAGAAGTTGATTCTCAACGCGACCCAGGTCTAGACATCAGCGCGACTTTGTCCTCTGATGGTGTACAGGCTGCTATCAGAATCATCGAGCTCTGCCAATTGCTGCAGGACACGGTCGGGTTAGCCCGCATTTCATACACGGAGTTCAGTTCCTGTCGTGCTGCACTCCTGGCGATCATTGCTCAAAGCTTGAATGCGCGACCGGACTATTTACGCGATGCCCTTTTGCAAGGAATGACTTTGATCCGTCAAATGTGCGTTGGCCTGGAATCGGCTCGCTCGGAGGTAGCGGTCATTGAAGCCCTGGAGCAGGCGGCGCGACGTCTGGATCATCGTAGCCGAAGTGAGGATACAGCCACCAGTCAAGTCGATTCTGCCTACAGTCAGTTCCGGCGTTGGGCTAGACTGTGGCAGAACGAGCCTTCATCTTTGAGTGTCATGCCAGAGAGTCAACCTACTACTCAACTTCATGACCCTCAAATAACTGCTGGTTCATTCGATGGATTCTTCGCGTCTTTCCCACAAGAACTTGGATCTTTTGCGACCCTTCATGATGCCGAATCGCAGTTCAGTCTAAACTCACCAAGCATGCTGTGGCTGGACAATCTCCAACTACCGCCGTTTTCTGAAGACATAAGCGCTCCAGCCTGGGAGGCTGGCAGTACATGAACTTTCCATAAGTCCAAAACCCTGGCCTATTGATCTGGTTCCATGAAGACAAATCTGTTCACGTCCTTCGAATTATCTTCTATCAATGCATGCCTTGTATGGCCATCTATAGTGCTTCTGACTCTCCACGGAATTCGAATGAGAATCGATCGTTCAATGGATTCTTACTCGTGATAAAGAAATTTATTCGGGGAACACCTGGGCAAACAACTCGTGGCCGTATTCCTGCTACGCACGCTACATATGATCTACAGCGCAGTGAGGGAACCCTTTGCGAAGAATCAAAATATATCCTCACACGGTTTGCCTGGGTATCCATAAAAATTGGTAGGTTTGCCATTGATCTTTGATACGAGTCTCACTTTAGGGAGAGATTCCTGGAACACTCGATCGATATCCATGCATAACATTCGCCCTCTTGTGGCACCTCTTAGTACTGAATATCTCTCTACCCTGGTCTATAGACCCCCGATCGTAATGGTCTTGACGTGGGTAAACTCGTCAATCCCGTACTTGCTCCCTTCTCTTCCAAATCCGCTCTCCTTAACACCACCGAACCTGTGGGTGGTGGTCAGCTGATGATTCACTAAGTTACGAGAGCTTTGAACAGGAAGGAAAACATACGGAGATGCAACGTTACTGATGATACCAGTATTGGCGCCCACCATGCCAACTTCAAGCGCTTGCGCAACTCGAAGCATCCTTGCCGCGCTTCTGCTATACAAATATGCAGCAAGACCCACCTCACAGTCGTTAGCCAGTCCGATGACCTCCTCTTCAGAGTCAAAGGGGAAGAGAGCAGCGACTGGGCCAAAGGTTTCCTCGGAGGCCAGTCGCATATCGTGCGTCATGTCCGCCAGCACCGTGGGCTGGACGTAGTTTGGACCCAGATTCTCTATTCTTTCTCCGCCAAGTAGCACTCGGGCACCTTTTGCCTTGGCATCTTCAATATGCGCCATGACTTTGTCCGCCGCGGCGATGTGAATGAGTGGACCGTGCGTGACGCCTGGCATGAAACCCGGTCCAACCTGGAACTGCCTCACCTTGGCCACGAGCTTCGCTGCGAAGTCATCGTAGCATGATCGATGGACGTAGATGCGGTTGGCGCACACACAGGTCTGTCCAGTGCCTCGGAATTTGGATGCGATCAATCCATCAACCGCATCATCAAGAGATTCGACATCGTCGAAGACGATGAAAGGAGCGTTTCCTCCGAGTTCCCAGGACACTCGTTTCACGGTTGACGCCGCCTGGTTCATCAACAACTTACCCACCCGTGTGGACCCCGTAAAGGAAATTTTCTTGATGCTGGGATGGGTGGAAAGCACTCTGCCCACTTCGACCGTATTCTCTAAGCTCGTCAGGGTATTTACAACTCCCCGGGGTATACCCGCGCGGTGCGCTAGTTCCGCCAGCGCATTCGCTGTGAATGGTGTCTCTCCGGGACTTTTAGCCACCACCGTGCATCCAGCTGCTAGGGCGGGTGCTATCTTGCGGGTGATCATAGCTGCAGGAAAGTTCCAAGGCGTGATGAGCCCGCACACGCCGACGGGTTCTCGGATGGTGACCACGAAGGTTCCCGGCACGGATACGGGAATACTGTCCCCGTACAAGCGAGGACATTCTTCGCTGAACCACTCGAGAAATGCCGCTGCATATGCGACTTCGCTTTTGGCCTCCGCCAGCGGCTTGCCATTCTCCCAGGTAATCAGTGTCGCCAAGTCTTCCTGATTCTGCATGATGAGGTCGTACCATCGGCGTAGCATGCGAGAACGGTCGCGGACAGGTGTTTGGCGGAATGAGCACAATGCTTCCGAGGCCGCGTTGATTGCCCGGTGGGCATCCGCAGTATCGCTATCGGGGCAGGTTCCGACAAGTTTATTCGTAGCGGGGTCTTGCATATACGCTGTCAGGGCGTTGAGACTTGGAAAGGCAGTTGGGGCATCCTACCAAAGACCTTGAAGGTCTTTCGGGATTGGGCAGTAACCCATTCTCCGTTGATGTAGCATTTGCCAATGAAGAGGGACTTATCTCTCAGCTAGAAGACATTAGCTGTCGTCAGTGTGCGTTCTGTATCTGACTCACTTCGAGAACCGTGGGATCCATGACGAGATGTTTGATATAGGGAAACTTCGGGCTGAGCTTTGCGAATCGGAACATCAGTATTATAGCACAATTTGGACATACGACATGGGAGCCACGATTTTCCATCTGTCTATTATCTGTTTGCTGACTTCCGAGAAAGGATATCCACTCGGATCGAGACAGACCTCGGGTGAATGCTCCCGAACACCTCCCGGAACGTATACAGCCATAATTATGCGACACAATGACCAGTGCAATGTGTGAGACCTCTATTTGATATTGACTGATAATATTTCTAAGGTACTGGATTCTGAACTCCCAAACCAAACATCCGCACACTGTTGTTCCACGCTGCTTCCGCTACAGTCTCCACCGGGACCCCCTTCAAACCAGCTACAACCATCGCCACCCGTTCAATGGTACACGGCTCATTACGCGACTTGACCATCTGCCCAGCAAGGAACTTGTGATGCTTCCGGGACGGAGGTAGCGGTCGTGCTGCTTCCAGGTACGGCGCGATCTTCTCATCCTTGGCCAACACCTCGCACCAGGGTGCATCTGTTTCCAACTGCAGCTTGTTCAATGGTATATGACGCACCATATCCAGCTGCTTTTCCGTCCGGAAACTGATTCCATTCACGCTAATCTCCAATCCCAGATTGACAAGCTGCTCCATCTCCGCTTTAGATCCGGAAAAGGAATGCACAAGCCCGCCCTGGGGTAAGCGAGGCAGATACGGCGAAAGGATACTGATGAAATCAGCGCAGGATTCACGCATGTGCAGGAATAGAGGCAGCTGCATCTCAACGGCTAGGTCGAGTTGATCGCGGAATGCCCGCTGCTGCGTTTCCTTGTCGGCGCGGTCGAGATACTCATAGTCCAATCCAATCTCGCCGAATGCCACAAGTGGGGAGGGAATTTCGGCTAGCAGTTGCTTTCCGAGCTTTTTCAGGTCGCTGAGATACGACTTCCCCGCGTCTTGAGTGTAGATCTCATTTGCGTGGTAGGGGTGCACGCCTAAAGTTAAGGTGCAGATGTCGGGGTATTGCCTTGCTAGTTGTAGATTGGTATGTGCGCCGGGTAGGGACATGGTCGTCAGCATCATCTTTTTACAGCCATATTCTTGGGCTCGTTGGATGACTTCTCCAAAGTCGCTGTCGTGGTATTTTTTGCCGCGGTAGACGCCGTGGAATTGGTCTGCTGTGTAGGTAACTGCCACCTGTGCGCAATTAGTTTGATATTCATATCTTTGGAGATGGGAAATGGGATGGGGTAAAACTTACATCTGCAAATCGCAGTGAGAGTCTTCGCGGTAATGGGCTAGACATGACTTCTGGTATATACACCTCTTCTCTCACTCGAGTCGGATGCTCAACAAGGTAATTTATTGCGTTTTATACCCTGAGTCCATACACTCATTATCTCTTCACACAAGTAGTCGGGTACATGTACCCGAGCGCTATCAGGACGATAACAAGCAAATCATGAGGATAACATTGAACTGATATAACGATAAAAACATCGTATTACTGCTTCTCGATTGCATCTGCCATATCACCCAAAGTCCTGAACCTCCAGTCGTAGACAGTCTCACTCAAATTCCCCATCGTAGCCCCCGGCCTCTCAATCCAAACCGACTTCAGCCCCATCCTCTTCGCCGGATGATGATCGTGAAACTGGCTTTGCGCCGTCTGTAGCACCTGCTCCGGCTCAACACCGAAAGCCTCCTTAATGGACTTCAACATATACCTGAAATTCTCCAGGTTGGGCTTATACGAGCCCACGTCCTGCGCTGTAATCACTAGATCAAACGGGAAACCCTGCAAACTGCCCGCGTTGGTTTTTGCAAAGGACTCTCGGTCGACGTTCGAGAGCACGACGAGCTTGTAGTGCTTGCTCAGGCGCTTGAGCGCCTCCACAGTATCCGGGAACGCTGGCCAATGGCCGACTGACTCGCCGAAGATGTGGCTTTCTTCCGCGGTGGGTGGGTTGAGGCCCAGGCGTTCGGTTAGGAGGGGGTGGATTGTGGTGAGGAGGCGGGAGTAGGGCATGTCTGGGGTCTGAGATTGCTGTTGTTTCTCGAGTTCGTGGTAGACATGCAGATATTGGTCTCTGGTGATTGGGGGGTTGCCATTCTTCGCCAGTGCGGGCTGGAAGGCGTTCCAGACGCCGGATTCCCAATCGATTAACGTTCCGTAGACGTCGAAGGAGAGGAGACGGTAGTCGAGGAGATTAGACATTTCGTCGTGTTTCTCTCGATGATTGTGAGTGATGATGAACCTGGTTGTGTTCTTGATGGCCATGGTTCGTTTATATGCAGTGTTCGACAGACCGGGAACAGTTACCCGGGTTGAGTCGTCCTTCGAGTCTGACCGGTTGAATCACCTTGAACATTGTTAGAACCTTGTGATAAATCATGAGACGGTTGCTTCTACTCGGCCCGATGAGATTAATGCTCGGAATAGTGCTTTTGTTCCTTTATAACCCCGGGGGCACTGCCGTCCTCGACCTTCCCCTTCATCCCCAACAACACAACGTCACCAACTGACCGATTTATGACTTCGTTGTTCCAGACAACAAAAATGGCCTCTGCACTCTCCGAGCCTCCTGGCCCTTCAATACTGACCGCCGTTCCCGGCCCATCGACCAATGCCATTAAGCGTGAGCTGGATGTCGTCTTTGATGCCCGGACAACGCAGATCGTCATCGACTATGACAAAAGTTATGGAAACTAGTCAGTCCATTCCTCCACACATCGCGTAGAATACCAACTGATGCTTCATCCAGCCTAGTAGACGTCGACGGCAACTGTTTTCTGGACGTGTATGCGCAGATCGCCTCGATTGCCGTGGGCTATAACAACCCAACCTTAATCCAGGCAGCCCAATCCCCCGACATGGTCTCCGCTCTCGTCA